GGCAGAAGCCCGCTGCAGTGTGAGATGTGGCTCAGAGGGAGAGGGGACTGGTTACCATGACATTCTCTGGAAGAGTACTAGAGCTGGGATCAGACTGCCACAGGGGAGGACTCAGCAGTCTCTCCTTTCCAACAAGAACTTGTAGGAGGCAATTAGAGGAGACCAGGCTGAAGAGAGATCTAGTCTGTTAACTCCTTTTGTTTTGAAGCTTCAAGGAATACTTCGATTGTGCTTGTTTGCTTTAGGATCATGCTCTGTTCTGGGTCTTGGTACATAAGACTGAATGCAGTATGTTTCCTCCCTGGCAGAGTTCATAATTTTCATAAATTACATTATGGTAAAACATCTATGAGGGTGAAATATATCTCTGGTAGACAGGACATTTGCATATCATGCACAAGGTTCTTTGAAACAAAATCCAGTAATTAGTGATGAGAACAATACACTGACAGAAGCTTCGGATTTCCTCAGAATAGGATGCCTGAGAAGGTAAGAGCAGGGCCCGAGTACCTTCCCACCTTCAGGGTACTTAATCCTCCCTAAGAAATCTGTTTGTTCTACTAAAAAGGGGGGGGGGGAGTCCCTGGGTAAAGGCAACATGAGCAAAAACTTAATTTTTAAAGGCCTAGTTATGTGAGGGATAGCCTTTCTAGTCTGTTGTGAAGTTTAAAATATAAAATATTCTGCATTCTGTTATTGTGAACTAAGGTTCAGGCTTATTTGAAAGGTACCAATGAGGGAATATTCATTTAGAACGCAAAAAACTTAACTTCAAAAACAAAAAAGTCTCAGAAACCTATCTACATTTTAAAAAATCATGATCTCAGAACTTCTTATGAAAAAACCTAATTACAAGAAATTAAGATATTTAAAATATAGGCTGGGGCCTGGTTCGATGGTTCCACAGGCATAAGTGTCAGACCACCAAACTCAGGTAGAGGTGGAGGAGCTAACTCCACAGAGCTATCCTGGGCTTCCACATACAGGCATGCTCACGCCTACGAAACAATTCACACACACACTCTCTTATTAGGTGGAGACACCTAAGTCTCCAGCACTTGGCAGGCAGAAGTGGAACTTCAAGTTAGAGGCAAGCATGGGCTACACACTGAGATCCAGCTGAAAACTGATGAAAGAACCATGAGATTTTTTTTTTTTTGAGACAGGGTTTCTCTGTGTAGCCCTGGCTGTCCTAGAACTCACTCTGTAGACCAGGCTGGCCTCGAAGTTAGAAATCCATCTGTTTCTGCCTCCCAAGTGCTGGGATTAAAGGCATGTGTCACCACTGGCCACTCATGAGATCTTCTAATAGAGAACTCAACCCGGTTTTGAAAAAGAGCATCCAAATAAAGACCTAGGTCAAAGCCAGGTGTGACAGTGCACACCTTTAATCCCTGTGCTCAGGAGGCAGGGGCAGAGGCAGGCTGGTCTCTGGGTCAAGGCCAGCCTCATCCACAGAGCGAGGAGTGAACAAGAGCAAAGGGAGGCGCTGACTCCCTGGGGAGATAAGGTGGATGAGGTGCCAGAGAAGAGTCTTCTCTGTAGCTAGACCTACACAGCAACAGAGGAGGTCAGTCTGACCAGGGAGAGGAAGGAGGATGTGAAGAAAGTGTAAGAATCTTCAAAGACTATATGGGAATCTGAGTGCAAACAGAAAACTTGGGGAACTACCTCATAGCCCAGGAAAAAAGATGATCATGGCCTACAATACAGAATGCAAAGAAGGGATCTAAATATGTATAGGATCAAGATTAAACCCTAAGAGAATCTAATATGTAGGCATTAGGGAGAGAAGAAAAGGGTCTAGTAAAGAAAACTGCAGTGGAGCTGGAGTGATGGCTCAGTGGATAAGAGCACTGACACCTCTTCCAGGAGTCTGCGAAGTTCAATCCCAGCAACCACATGGTGGCTCACAACCATCTGTAATGGGATCCAATGTCATCTTTTCTTATGTGTCTGAAAACAGCTACAGTGTACTCATATAAATAAAATAAGTCTAAAAAAAAGACTGAAACATTCAGGAAGCTTGAAATAGGAGAACCAAAAGTTTGAGGCCATTCTTTTACTGCACAGAAAGACCCTGACTCAAAACAAAACAAAAAGAAACACAAAGCAAGCCGGGCGGTGGTGGCGCACGCCTTTAATCCCAGCACTTGGGAGGCAGAGGCAGGCTGATTTCTGAGTTCGAGGCTAGCCTGGTCTACAGAGTGAGTTCCAGGACAGCCAGGGCTATACAGAGAAACCCTGTCTCGAAAAACCAAGCCAAAAAACAACAACAGACAAACAAAAACAAAAAACAAAAAAACAAAAAAAAAACCAAACACAAAGCAAAAAGAAAAAGAAACAAACAAACAAACAAACCCTTCCAAACCAATATCAAGTACAGTGGTAGATGGCTACAGACCCAGCTACATAGAGGCTACAGAAAGGGGACTGTTTGGGTCCAGGACTTATGGTGTGCTAGGGTTCAGCATTAGTTTGATTTTATCTTTAACTTTAACCTTTGAGGAGTGAGGAACTACTAGTAGGCCTAAGAAGTAAAGTAGCCCAGGTTTGGAAAAAAAAAAATTGATGTGGACTGCCCCCCCCCCCCAAAGGCCAGTAAGAAGACTCAGCCAGCAAAAGTAACGGCCACACAACCATGCACACAGAATGACTACATAAAAGTGCAATATTTCTTTTGAAGACTAAAACGGAGCAGCTAGTTCAATAGAGAAACTCCAAGAGCAAAGCACCAGCAACTGTACTGACTATTCCAGAGACTCAGAAAGGAAAACAGAGTATCCACTGGATTTGGCAACATAGTACCTTCTGGTGACCATATGAATTTTGATGAGCAGTTAGAAGGGGAGTCAGATTGGTATTAACTAAAGTCTCAGTGAAACATAAGAGAGTTGAACTGGTATAAGCCGAAACCTGACTATAGCATGAAAAATTGAAAATTAGGGCAATAAAGCCATGCTTAGGAGTAGCGCACATGTTTATACTTTCAGCACTGGGGAAGCTGAGGGCGGAGTGACCATGAGTCTTAGGTCAGCCTAGGTAGGCTACGTGTCAAGAAACATGATGACTGGAGTGGCCTTTGAGAGATATTAGAACATAATTTTGTTTTTGAGTTTTTTTTTTTTTGAAACATAGGATTTGGTGACTGATACTGGGAAATCATCATGAGGAAGTCAGTGCTCATACCCAACCCAGATAGTGATGATTATTAGGCACAAGCCTTTAGTCCCCAGTACTCGGGGACAGATCTCCATGAGTTCAAGGACAACTAGGAAGAGTGATCCTGTCTTCAGAAACCAAAGAACTGGAGGGGGAATATAAACTTTGAATTTCAGTACTGTTTTACTTTCTGCTGTGATTAATTACTTGATAAGATTAAGTTCATTTGGAGAATATTAATACTTTGCCAATCTAACCTAATAGCCACGCAAGCCAACCAAATAAAATAAGCTTGCAGTGGTGGGACACTAGGCATGGAGACAGGCTCTAAATTCATGGTTGTGGGGAGAGCTGTTGTTTTTTTTTTTTTTTTGAGACAGGGTCTACAAATGCAGCCAAAGCTTAAATTCCATGATCCTCCTGGCTCAGCTTCTCATTGTTGCTATAATTGTTTTGTAATTAAAACACTGAAGACTTACAAACTGTCAACTCCAGTGTTGAACAATGGAACTAAACTTTTTCTCCCCAAAATTAATTAAATTCAACAACTTCCACACATTGTAGCATAATTCACTGCTGGGGAGGGGGCCAGGCTCCTCCCCTTCCTGCAGATTTACAGGCAGTTAACGGTTGCTAGGGGGGAGGGGCTCATCACGAGATCCCACCAACCCTAAGGATCTATAGTAATTCATGGTTGCTGGGGGAGGGGAACATTTTCTTTAGGGTTGTAGCCCAGGCTTCTCTGAATAATTCTTCACTCACGTACTTGTAAAAAACCTTCAAGTAACTAATTGAGGCATACACACAAAAAAATTAATGAAAGTAATGCAGGATTGTGAAGAAGGGGATCAGCAGGAATGAAGTAGGGCAGGGGACGAAAAAACAAGTTACCCTATACTTTTGTATTATGGTGACTTTTCATGTAAGTATTACAGGAGACCTGCCTCCTAAGGGAAACCAGGCATCAGTTCTTTCTATAACACAGGGGAAACCTCTTTACTTAGATACTTGAGTACCTGATGTCAAACAAGAATACACATTTCTGATTAGCAACCAATTCTAATATTTATGGTAGGTCTTTAGCAAGTGTTCGAGGAAATGAATTATGCAGGATGGAAGGCTCCAGGAACTTATGTATAAACTCGCATCTTTATAAAGTATTAAGGGACTTGCCCATCCGTGGAGGGAAAAATGTTTAATTACTAAACATTTTGAAAAGAGCTAACATTCAGCACAGTACACCAGCCTCATGGCTGAACCATCGAAAGCCCGGCAGGATCCAAAAGCCTGGACTAATTAATCCGATCACCTGATGCCAAGTGAAAAAAAAAAAAAACCTTAGGTCTCTTCTAGTCCCAATTTTTTGCGTGGCCCAGATTCCAGACGCGGTGGAGAAGATGGGATCCCAGAAAGCCTGTTGATCCAAGAGGCAACCCCAGGTCACAGGTTCCGGGTGGTACCGCGTGGAGAAAGGGCTGAAGACTCTGAGCGATCACGGCACTTTCCTGTCCTTTTCCCCCTGGCAGATCAGGGAAGGCCAGGGCCCCCTTCCTTCCCGCAGTGGGCACCCCAAAGCCTCTTCCCTTACGGGACCAGGCCCCAGGAGTCTGGCTCGCCACCTGCGCACACACTCACGCAACACACTCTCCAGGCTGAGCTTTACCTGCTTGAAGGCCGCTGTTTCTGCGCTGCGCTAAGCCCCCACAGAAGAAAATGGAGTCGCCGATCTGAGACTGCAAAAGGATAGTCCGGACCCACCGCAAGGGCCCTCCGCAGCCGCCACTACCACCACCACCGTCGCCGCTGCTGCGTTAACGTACTACGTCACCTCCGGCTCTCTGTCACTGGGAGTGGGAGGGTCATTTCCTGCTCTTTTCCCAACCGGTGTCTAGAGCTTTGGTTCCGAGTCCGCGAACACTGACTGACGATACATAAGGAACGCGGCCGCCCCAGAGCACCCAGAACAAAGCGGGGCCCCGAAGGCCACCCAGGCTAGCGTGTTCCTTAAGCCGCTCTAGCCAAAGGAACCATAAAGATTCAGGTTAAAGAGTCTTCACTTCCATCTTGGCGTAGTTCTACCCTCGGCTTCCGGTTCCGGGGACGGGCCTAATTTTCTTGGATGATTAGGGCTCTCGGATCTAGGATGGCTGTCTTGTCGCTTCTGTTGTTGGGTGGTTTGTGGAGCGCTGTGGGAGCGTCCAACATGGCTGTTGTTACTTGCGGCTCGGTGGTGAAGCTACTCAATACACGCCACAACGTCCGACTGCACTCTCACGACGTGCGCTATGGGTCAGGTACAGAGGGGGACCAACCAGGTTCAGGTGGGCTGCCTAGGCCGGGTGAGCCTCAAGGGGCGGGGCCTCGGATTCTGAAGGCGTGGTCTTGGAAAGTTAGACGTCGTTTTTGAAGACGACGAGTTGCCAAGGAAACTTAGTCCCAATGTTACTGTTTGATGAGCTTTGTGCCAAACGTGTTACATTTATACTTTCCCGTTTTTAACATTGTATCGAGGATAGATACTGAAGTTATTTTCTTAGGTGTATAATTAGATTCAGATACTGCTCAAAGCCTTACAGCTAGTGAATGATGGAGACAGGGTTTAATCCAAATCTGTCCAGGTTCAAAGCCTTTCAGATTCCATGGGCTGCCACTACTTTTGGGCTGGAAGAGGAACATTTAGAGCAAGACAATGTACGCTGAATCTCAGATTTTAAACTTCAAGAGCTCACTCTGATTAAAACCCATTGTCTTACTTTTTTTTTTTAAAGCGCATATCTTTTGGCACTCTGACTTAGCAATAACTTCCTTGTAAAGAATTTAAGATTAGCCGGGCAGTGGTGGCGCACCCCTTTAATCCCAGCACTTGGGAGGCAGAGGCAGGTGGATTTCTGAGTTCGAGGCCAGCCTGGTCTACAGAGTGAGTTCCAGGACAGCCGGGGCTATAAAGAGAAACCCTGTCTCGAATCCCCCCCCCCCCAAAAAAAGGAATTTAAGACTAGGTACCTCCTCTCCTATTAAGCGTTGACAGGAATTGCAAAGGAAAGTCTGCTTTTTATCATGTGCAATTAAAATACTCAAGTTATTTGTGGGCTCATTCAGTTGGCCTAGATTTAAAGAGCTGTTTTTGAGTGTCTAGTATTGTTCTAGACACAGGAAATACAGTAGTGAATCAAACAATAAAACAAGACTAATGGGCAGGCGTGGTGGCCTAGGTCTGTAATCATAGCACTCAAAAGGTTGAAGCAGGAGAATCAGGACTTCCAGATCAGCCTGGCTTATATAGTGGGGCTGTCTCAAAACAAGTTCAAAGGCTGGATAATTCCCTCAGTGTTAGAGTATTTGCCAAGCATACTGAAAGGCCCTGGCTTCTGCCCCCACACTGGGGGGAGTAAAAGTAATGAAGTTCATCATGAGGTACTCACTATGATTTGAATGACTGAAGCTATTTGCTAGAAAGGAAGTGACCTTTTAAGATGGTTAGTCTGTTCACAACTCTCAGAACCTGTCCTACCAGTTTAGTCTCCGGAGTTGGTAGTCTTTATATTCCTAGCCACCTCATTCAGTAAACACCTACATCTTTCAGGCTCGCCACATTTTAATTTAATGTTTCCTGCTCTGGGTCTGCTATTAAAATGGAGTGAGAGAGAAGCCTTCTAGACTTCAAATCTCTACAGGTGGTCCCTAGGGGTGGGGCTATGTTCAGTCTGAACCTTAGGGGACGAATCTGAGTTAGATACAAGATTCTTTTAAAATTTTGGCTTGTTTATTTTTGAGACAGTCTCTCTAGCCATGACTGTCCTGTGGCCTGGAACTCAATATGTAGGCCAGCCTGACCTTGAATTCCTACTTCTGCCTCTCAAGTGCTGCAATTAAATGCTTTAATTTTTTAATGACATTTAGTGTCTGTGTGTGTGTCTGTGTGTTTAGATGCATGCTTGCCACAATACAAATGTGGAGATCAGAGAAGAACATTGTTCTCTCCTTTTGTCATGTGAATCCTAGGGATTGAACTGACATTGTCAGATTTGGTGGCAGGTGCCTTTACCAGCTGAGCCATTTTATAGCCCAGATACAATATTCTTGTCTAGATAATGGTTGAAGATACACAAGTAGATCAGATTGCTCAGGATGAGCTGTATGGTTCTCAATCTGAAAAATTACAGTAGATGTTAAATGACTTTATCTGGACCCACAAGTATTTAGGAACAGATCAAAGACCAAATAGAATTCTGGACATTCCCAGGTATAAGGAGGTCTCTGGAGGAAGTAGAGGATTGAAAAGAAAGTGAAAAATTAAAGAGACAATCAAAATATAGAGAACAGGACTGGAGAGATGGCTCAGTGGTTAAGAGCACTGACTGCTCTTCCGGAGGTCCTGAGTTCAATTCCCAGCAACCACATGGTGGCTGTAATGGGATCCAATGCCCTCTTCTGGGGTGTCTGAAGATAGCTACAGTGTACTCATATACATAAAATTAATAAATATATATTTTTTAAAAAAGTATATGATGCTCTTGCAAAGAGTACATGTTCCATTGCAAGCATCCACGTGGTGGTTACCTAACCCTAGCTCCAAGGGATCTGGTCCCTGACCTCTGTGGGCACAAGCATGCATCTGGTACCCAGACATACATACAGGCAAAATACATAAAAAGTAAAATGAATAAGTCTAATAAGAATTGTTTTTGCTGAGCAGCTGTGGCTCGTGCCTTTAATCCCAGCACTGAGGAGGCAGAGGAAGGCAGATCTCTGAGTTCCAAGCCAGCCAGGCTACACAGAGAAGCCCTGTCTTGGAAAAAAAAAACCAACAACAACAAAATGTTTCTTTAAATGTATAGAGCAAGACTGAACTCTGACTGAGCTGAAAGGCATTAACAAGAAGTGAGAAGAGGAACTGAGTCAGGTGTCCAAAGCAGGTGGAGCTCCCTGAGTTCTAGGCCAGCCTAGTAAGTTTACATAGGGAATTCCAGGCTTGCCAAGGCTACCCACGTCAGACCCTATCTCAAAATATAAAACTTAGGGCTGGAGAGATGGCTCAGTGGTTAAGAGCACTGACTGCTCTTCCAGAGGTCCTGAGTTCAATTCCCAGCAACCACATGGTGGCTCACAACCATCTGTAATGGGATCTGATGCCCTCTTCTGGTGTGTCTGAAGACAGCTATTATTTCACGTATATGAAATAAATAAATCTTAAAACTAAAATAAAATTTAAATAAAAAAAACAATTTAAAAGATGTAACAATGCCATGGGCTGGGTGGAATAAGTCTGGGAGAGGGGCTGATTGCTTAGGCCGTCTACCAGCTCATTAGTTCAAAGCCTGAGGTTTTGTTACTTGGTGAAGTCAGGTAGGGCATTGGAAATGAAAGGCCATCGAGGAGGGAAAGTATCTCTGGAGTAAGTAGACTGGAAGAATTTGGTAGAAAGTAGAATGGAGAAGACGCCCTTTGAACATGATGTTTTGGATAGTGTTTACTTGGCTCAGGCTCAGCCCAGTCCTAGCTCCATGACTGGGTATACTGCTCACCCCTGCTGACACTCCAGTATAAAGTGGGGGACAGTGACAGTAGCTATCTGAGAATAAAATGCCTTAGTTATGTAAGAATGAATATTCAAGTAGAGCAGAAGGTCTTCAGTCTTACTATTCAGAAAGTAGAGAGAGGCAGGATCTCTGAGGACAGCTGCTCTACCTAGTGTATTTCAGGCCAGCCAGTGCTACACTGTCTCAACAAACAAAAATCCAAATTATCGGTTGGGTGATGGTGGTCCATTCCTTTAATCCCAGCACTTAGGAAGCAGAGGCAGGTGGATCTCTATGAGTTAGTTCCAGGACAGCCTAGTGTACAGAGGAACTTCCAGAACAGCTGGGGCTATTCAGAAAAACCCTGTCTCACCAAAAAACAAACAAACAATGAAGAGCTTGGATTAGTCCTCTTGGGGGTTGGTTTTGTGCACTGTGTATTCAGATGCTAATTTCTATGGGGGGGGGGAGACATCTGGTTGCTGCCCTGAAGTCTGTCTGGTCATGGACTTCCACTTTCAATGTTATGTAAAAATTGTTTTCCATTACATCTGATTGGTTAATAAAGATCTGATTCGGCCAATAACTGGGGATAGCAGAGAGGGAAGGCAGTACTTCCCATCCCAGTCGGGGAGGGGGGGGTCCCCAAAGAGGAGTGAGAAGGGGGTGGGGGAGGAAAAAAGAGAAGAAGGTACTGGAGAGACCTTATGGAGGGACTAGGAGGAGTGGCCAGGAGCAACCTTGGAGCAGAGTGTGACATAGATTACAGGTGACCGACCACAAGGCTGGGAAGTGGCCAAGCTAGTAGAGTAGAATAGATGACGTTCTGCCCAGTCACAGGGCTCACAGCCTTTTAATAAATGTATTAAGTTCCTGCGTCATTTATTCAGGCACTAAAAAGGACTAGAATAAACCAAGAAACACCCTGTTCTTGTTTGGGAGCAAAAGGGGCGGAGCAAATCCCTCAATTACTTTCACATAGCCCAACACCTGGTGATAGTACATTTTCCTTTAAGAGCTACAGCTACATATTTTACTCAGTATTTTCACCATGCAGAATTATATTTGCCAAGGAGTGGCTACAAATTTATATGATCTAAGAATATTTTATTCTGGCTTTTTGAGACAAGGTTTTACTCTACAGTCCTAACTGGCATAAAACTTACCTAAGGACAGCTTGGGACATGCTGGCTGACTCCTGCTGTGGATCTTCAGGACTGAACTGAAGTATAACATCAAATACCTTTAACCACTGAGCCAAGTCATTGGCTTTTTTTATACTTAGATTTGTGGATGCGCTTGGCATGACGACACACACCTTTACCCCCAGCACTCAAGAGGTAGAGGTAGGCAGATCTCTGAGTTCGAGGCCAGCCTGGTCTATGTAAGGAGCTCTAGGACATACATATGTCTTGGGACTACATAGAGAGACCCTGTTTCAAAAAAAGGAAACACACACACACGAATGAACTCTCTTGTTTGGTTTTTCAAGATGGTTTCTGTGTGTAGAGCCCTGGCTGTCCTGGAACTCACAGATATCTGCCAGCTTCTGCCTCTGTGCGCTACCACGCCTGACTCCCTTTTACACTCTACCTGGGTTCTGGAAAGTGATGTTTAGTTGTTAGGCTAGCGTGGCTAATACTTTGCCCCACTAAGCCATCCCCCTGGCCCCACTCTGTGTTTTGGGGCATGATCTCTCCCGGGGACCTGAGGCTCACCAGTATGGCTAGGCTGGCTGGTCAGTGAACTCAAGGTTGGTTTGTGCAGCCTTCCCAGTTCTGGGATTACAAGCACAGTCCACAATGCCAGTCTTATTCTATGTGGGTTCTGACAGTGGAACTCAAGTAATCAGGCCTGGTAACCAGAGAACAACTTGCAGGAGTCATTCTCTTTCTACTGTGTGGCTCTGGGGATGAACTTAGGCTGGGGCTTACATAGCCGGTGCCTTGACTCCTTGGGTATCTCACTTTCACACATATACAGTACGTAAACACATTGAGTGTGTTCTAAATTTTAATGTTGTGAAAGTAAAATATTCCCAAACATAGTGTTTCCTCCCCTCCAAACCATTTGTGACACAAGGCACATCCTTGGCTGGAAGAGGAAGGGGTCAGGTTGAACTCCCTTGGCCTTTTATCAATTTAATTAGTTGTATTGTTAGCTATGGTTGGTGCAGAAAGGGAGCAGAAAGCTCACAGGCTCCTCAGTTTTACAAGACCCCATTCAGAGAAAAGAAAGTCTGGTATTTGCCAGCAATATCCAGGGTCTTGGATCCATTCCTGAGGAGGAGGGTCTCAGAGGGCATGCCTAGCATATACCCCTTGATCAGAGGAAGGCTAACTGATGGGCCCATGGGTGACCTCAGGTCATCACGGAAGCCATGATTCATGGTGGAGAGGTCCCCCATCTTGGTAGGACCTCAGTGGGAGATAAAGTCACTGTTGGCAGTCACAGCAACTTCTGCAGTCCCTCTTCTCTGTGGTCTCACTACCTCCCGGGATGGACCTCCAGCTACTCAGACACAGCCTGGGATTAAACACATTAGCTGGTACTCCTATGCTAACCTTTCTCTCAGTCCCAGATTCTCCGGCAGGAGGAGTGAGTGCATCTAAGTATCCAGTATCTTCGAAAGTAGCTTTTTCACAACCAATGATACCAAGTTCTTTGCACATAGCACTAGACCTAAAACCTGTTTTCTTCATACTCTGGCTATTTAGCATCTTGTCTCATGATTTTGCTGAACTCACAGCCACAGATGATCGAACTCATATGCTTGTCCAAGGCCTTAAAGGTGCAATGAAGATTCATAGATGGCCCTCTCACAGGACATATCTCATTCCATAGTCAGTATGCTGCAACTCCGTGTTCTTGTGTTCTTAGTTCAGTCATGACTGCTGTCCCACAACCTCCAGTATTTAAGAGTGAAATGTCAAGATCCTTAATATCTAGAGATGATATAGATGGAGGTGTGATAGAGATTTTCTTAGAAGCCATGCAAGCGTGGCAGAAGCTTTACAAGCAGCAGATGGGTCACAAACAGTTTGTCAAGGAGCTGGGCCTCTCCAGACTGCCTCTCTTCTCTGCCTTGCCTATGTTTTTTACCTGCAGGTAGTGGACAGCAGTCAGTGACAGGTGTGACTTCTGTGGATGACAGCAACAGTTACTGGAGGATACGGGGGAAGACGGCCACAGTGTGTGAAAGGGGAACCCCCATCAAATGCGGGCAGCCCATCCGGCTGACACACATCAACACGGGTCGAAACCTGCACAGCCACCATTTCACTTCACCTCTCTCTGGAAACCAGGTGAGGCAGCGTGCAGTGGGTGTTCCTGGTTTGCCCTGCTTCCTTACTTATCTGGTCTCTTGGTGCTTAGCTCCTCCTTCCTTTCTTCTTCCTTCCTTCCTAAATATGAGACACTTCACAAACTTGTGTGTCCCCCTTGAGCAGGGACCTATATCATCCAATTTTAGTCGTTAACCCTTTCCTTTCTCGGTAAGGCATTCTCTTTTTTGCAGACTTGGAGAAATGACTGTCCCTCTCTCTCTCTTTTTTTTTTTTAATGTTTATTTTACGTATATGAGTACACTGTTGCTCTCTTCAGATACACCAGAAGAGGGCATCAGAACCATTACAGATGGTTGTGAGCCACCATGTGGTTGCTGAGATTTGAACTCAGGACCTCTGGAAGAACAGTCAGTACTCTTAACTTCTGAGCCAGCTCTCCAGCCCCCAGGACTCAATCTCTTAAGTGTGAAGAAAATTGTTTCAGGTTAGAATGGAGACCTTACATCTAAACTAAAGTGAGGAATGGGGAGGAAAGGCAGAATGAGATACATTAAAACATCAATAAGTTTGTACAATAAAGAGTTTTGCGGGGCTGGAGAGATGGCTCAATAGTTAGGAGCACTGGCTGCTCTTCTAGAGGATCCAGGTTCGATTTCCACACGGTAGCTCATGATTGTAACTCCAGTTCGAGAGGACCAAACACTTACTTCTGGCCTCCTTGGACAGCAGACACTCAAGTGATACATCAACATCACAGGCAAATACTTGTATGTAAAAAAACAAAAAACAAAAAAAATTAAATTATTGTTTTTTTGTTTTATTGTTGGGACAGGGTCTCACTGTATAGTCAGTTATAGATGATCCAGAGCAGTGGCTCTCAACCTGTGGGTCATGGCCTCTTTGGAGGTGTCAGATGGCCCTTTTACAGGATCACCTAAGAGCATCTGAAACCACAGATTTTTACATTATAATTTAAAACAGTAGCAAAATTACAGTTATGGAATAGTAACAAAAATAATTTTCTGGATGTAGATCACCACACATGCCAGGTTGGATTATGTTTGAGACAAGGCCTTCTGTAGCCCAGACTGGCCTCACACTCACTGACTGTACCTCCCAAGTCCATGTGTTAAGTGCATGTGCCAGCATACCTAGCTGTGGGCTGCACTAGGGACCAAAGCCAGGGCCTTGTGGATGCTCAGGAAGCACTCACTTGCTGAGCCCCTCTCCAGCCCCTGACTGTGCTGTGTGGGAATGCATCTATTTGAGGCAGGGCTTTACTATACTAGCCTTGGACTCACCATGCAGCTCCAGTCGGCCTTGAGCTCAAGGCATTCCTCCTGCCTCAGCCTGTTAACTTTTGAAAGTATAGGTGTACCTCGTGACACCTGACTAGAATTATTTTTTATCTGTCTTTATTTTATGTGTGTGAGTGTTTTGCCTAGACATATAGTTGTGCACTGTGTTGTGTGTGCAGTGCCCTTAGAGGCCAGAAGTCATCGTCGGAACCCCTGGAGCTGCAGTTACAGATGGTTGTGACAGCTCTTTGGGTGCTGGTTATCAGACCTGGGTCCTCTGGAAAAGCAGCATGTGCTCTGAGGGTTTTTTTGGTTTGATTTGGTTTGGTTTGGTTTGGTTTGGTTTGGTTTGGTTTGGTTTTTGGTTTTTCGAGACAGGGTTTCTCTGTGTATCCCTGGCTGTCCTGGAACTCACTCTGTAGACCAGGCTGGCCTCAAACTCAGAAATCCTCCTGCCTCTGCCTCCCAAGTGCTGGAAGTAAAGGCATGGGCCACCACTACCCAGCTTGTTTTGTTTTTAACATTTCTTTTTAATTTTTTATTTTATGTAGAAGATCCTATTACAGATGGTTGTGGTTGCTGGGAATTGAATTCAGGAACCCTGGAAGAGCAGTGAGTGCTCTAAACCTCTGAGCTATGCCCCATGGTCTAGGTTTTTGTTGTTTTTGTTTTATTTTTACTTCATGTGTATTAATGTTTTGCCTGTATGTGTGTCTGTGAGACTGTTGAATCCCCTGAAAGAAGTGTATGCTATATTATTCCCACCCCAGAAGTGAAAATAAGTGGTGAGTGTGTTTAGAAGGCCAAATGCAATAGTGTGCACCCATAGTCTCTGCTGCATAAAGGGAAGAATGCTTGAGCCCATACGGACTCTGCCATCTTGGACAACTGAGCAAGACCATGTCTCTAACAACAGAAAATCAAGGACTGCCAGCAAGATGGCTTAGTTGGCAAAGACACTTGTTGACTTGAGTTTGATCTTTGACCTTATGAAAGGAGAACCAGCTCTATAAGTTGTCATTTGACCTCCATATGCATGCCATGGCACATGTGCACCCACACATAAGTAACTTTTAAAATGTCTGACAGAGTGTTAATGTACAGTGTAGTGCTTGAGTCATAATCTGAAACAGCTCGTTTTCTCTTGTGCCTTTTGTGTCTTTTTATTTTCCCACAGTTTATTGCATGTAAAAAAATGTTCATCAAGCTGAATATTGTGCACGCCTTTAATCCCATCATTTAGGAGCCAGAGGCAGGCAGATCTCTAGGTTTGAGGATAGCCTGGTCTGTAGAATGAGTTCTAGGACAGCCAGGGTTTACACAGAGAAACCCTGTCTCGAAACAACAACAGCACAAATATTTGTGCATTAACATTAGAAAGTCCCAGTTCTGTTTCTTTTGGGTAATTTTATTTTTCTTCTCACTGACTCCTTATTTATTTGGGGACAGGGTCTCTTCTAGCCTAGGCTAGCCTCAAACTGCCTATGTAGCTGATTGATCTTGGTCCTCCTATCTCTACTTCCCTAATGTTATGACTGTGGGTGTGCTCTACCATTCTTGGCTCCATTCCTTCACTCTTCAGACCTGACCACCACATGTTAATGTTGCCATTTTCTGTCTTTTAGGAAGTGAGTGCCTTTGGCGAAGAAGGTGAGGGCGACTATCTGGATGACTGGACAGTGCTCTGTAATGGACCTTACTGGGTGAGAGATGGTGAAGTGAGGTTCAAACATTCCTCCACTGATGTACTCCTATCTGTCACAGGAGAACAGTATGGTCGACCCATAAGTGGACAAAAAGAGGTACATGGTATGGCCCAGCCAAGTCAGAACAACTACTGGAAGGCCATGGAAGGCATCTTCATGAAGCCCAGTGAGTTGCTGAGGGCAGAAGTCCATCATGCAGAGCTGTGACTCTAAATCCTCTGAGCCACTGTCACCACACAGTGTTTGTAGACACCTGCTGCTACTTCACATGGGATCCCTCCTCCGAGCGAGCTGCTGCGTTTGGACCTGCAGCCCGGCCCACTTGAATTGGTTGCTCTCCCAGGTTTAGTCAGTTCTCAGGAGAGGATCATCTGTGAAGGCAGAGATACCTTCATTCGTGCTGGTATAAGAGGTTGAGGAACTCGCCTGTCTTAGCTGGGAAGCTTAACTCCGCAGGAGCTTGGTGTCATGGATTGTTAACTCGTGATTTCCCGCGTTTTGTCTTTCTCCAAAATGATGAATAAAAAAAATAAAGACTTTTATTCATTATGTGGTCATTTATTAAGCAGGCTCTTTCATGGCCAGCCTGCTTAATTCTCAGTCCGAAGACTAACAAGGTGCTGGGAATCTTCACTGCTGGCCATTTTAAGGTTTATTCGCATATAACCCTTTTCCCTCTGTGCCTTCAATTCTTCCCCAGCACATCTTTATTAAACTTTGACTGTGTGTAAGACCTTCACCGAGTTCAACATAATGTCTAGCTATGACATTGTCTTCCTGAGGATCTGTTATGTAGATGAGAAAAGGATTTAGGGTTACCAAAACCAACACTAATTCACTGCTAATCCAGGCACTATCTGATAACCATTTAATCTTCATAGACTTGTCACAGGATAGATAACACTTTCAACAACATAGAAGAGAAAAACTGAGTAGCTACCTGCATCCTTGAAAGCAGTAGGTACTTTTTTGTGTAGGAGCTGTACCTGCCTTGGTCTTTTTACTTGCACCACAGTGTAGTTAGCTCTTGGAAGCCAGCTTCTTCCTTTTTTAAGGTTTTGTCCTTCCTCTGCCACCTCACTTCCTCCTTTCTTGTTCTAGTTTTAGAGTTTATTCCTACATTCTTAGGCTGGGCAGTGGTAAACAGAAGTGACTGCCATCTGGTGGAATTTCAGTGACTGAAAGCTTTTTAGTTTTTATGTATAAAGTGTTTGCCTGGATGTATGTCTGTGTACCACATGCCAAAAGAGGCCAAAAGGCATCTAGGCAACTGACCCCTGAGAATGGAGTTACAGATGGTTGTGGGTTGGTCTGCTGGAAGATCAGCCATTCTTTTAATCACCGAGCCATTTCTCCACCTCTGGTTTTGCGTGTGTGTGTGTGTGTGTGTGTGTGTGTGTGTGTGTGTGTATGTGTATGTGTGTATGACAGACAGACAAGGGTATGTTGCTCTCTGGCTGGTCCTATATAAACCAGGCTATCCTCAAAACCATAGAAATCCACTTTTTCAGACTTCTGTGTGCTAGGATTAAAGGTGCATACCACATGTAAGTTACTACAAGCTCTTTTTTTTTTTGATCTTTATGTACATTTGGTATTCACGCTATACTTATGTCTGTGTGAGGGAGGTGGAGCCATTGGAATTTGAGTTATAGACAATTATGAGCTGCCATGTGGGTGTTAAGAATTGGACCTGTGTCCTTTGAAGAACAGCCAATGCTCTAAACCACTGAGCCAAGTCTCTAGCCCCTCTACAAGCTTTTTTATTTTAGAAATATTTGCTTTAAATTGTTGATGTGGAATATTTGCAGATACTCAGTTCTGTAGTAAGCATGGCCCATGATTCCAAGAAACTATAATTCTTTTCCAAAGAACTTGTGTTCTCAGTAAATTCAAACCAAGAGTTAGAACTCCACCCCTGCCCCTCCATCCCCACCCCTCCGCCCCTGACCCTCTATCCCCACCCCTCCACCCCTGCCCCTCCACCCCTCCCCCCCTGCCCCCCCACCCCCACCCCTCCACCCCACC